AAATGGTCAAATTGACCAAATTGGACCATGATTTAGTTGGACAAAATGAAATTGGGAATATTTTGGATTTATTGGGATTTTTTTGGGAATTTTTGGAATTTTTGGATTTTTGGGTCATGGAGGGGCATTTTGGTAATTTAGCCATTTTTGGAATTTTTTGTCCGTTTTGGCAAATTTGGATGTATTCAAAGTGTTTGGAATGAGTTTTGATCAGTTTTGGGTATTTTGGAAATATTTGGGAATTTTGGCCAAATTTGGGTCCCAAGGGCAGTTAGGTAATTTGGAGGTGCCTAGGGGCAAAAGGCCAAATTGGGCATTTCAAGTGCAATTGGGTAGAGAACCATTTTGAATGAGTCATGGACCAATGAAATCTCCACTTTGGGTCCCCATATATTGGTCTTAGCCAGGGTATTGTGAAAGTATGGTGTACCTTAGCTCCAAATCAACACCTAGGATCAATCCTAAGGTCAAGTAGTCCTATAGGAACTCTCCTTGAGTTCCATTATAATGATCTTACCTACTAAGTACTAGAGGTTAGGACCAATATGTGGAACTTCAAGTTGAGTAAAGAGAAGAGTTTTGAGTTTCTAATGGTGAGGGTACCTTTTCTAGTTTTCTAAGACTAGTCAGTAGGAAAGTCCTATGGCTAGCCCTAGGCTACTAAAGAAATTTCTAGACCTCAACCAAAAGTGAGGTCAACAGTATATATGTATATACATTATATATACATACACATACATACATACATACATACATGTATATATATATATACATATACATATACATACATACATACATGTATACATTCATGTATACATACATGTATACATACATACATACATACATATATATACATGTATACATACATGTATACATACATGTATACATACATGTATACATACATGTATACATACATGTATACATACATGTATACATACATGTATACATACATGTATACATACATGTATACATACATGTATACATACATGTATACATACATGTATACATACATGTATATACATGTATACATACATGTATACATACATGTATACATACATGTATACATACATGTATACATACATGTATACATGTTGTATTCTCTTCCATTTGCAAGTGGTATTTATATATCTTTCATAAGAACATGCGATGGAACCTCCTTGTCACTTATACATCATGATTTTAGAGTTATTTTAACTTTTTTCAGTTAGGACAACTGATGAATGATTCCTATCCACATCTTAACATTGTTGATCTCCCACTTTCCCCTTACCTTACTATCTTGCCACCATCTACTAGCTAAAGCCACTATCTAAATAAATTTTAGGAGTCATAGAATGATATTATCTGGTTTCAGAGACCGATAAACCCAAAAAGTTTAGACATTTGTCTTTTATGGTCTCAAATATAAAATTATAACAAAAAATTTGCCACTATGCCTAAATCATTCTTATCACAATTCTTAAAATTAACTCTAAATTTTCAAAATTCAACCATTCCATCTTTACCCAAAATTCACTTAGACACATTCTATCAAAATTCTAAACTCAACTAACTTTTTATCTACAATTCGACAACTACCAGAACTTTGACCGAGAGAAAATTACTAGTGTCGTATAGAAGAGACCTCTAAATAGGTGTGTAGGAGCTTATTATAAAGGATATGCAATGAGAAATCCTTAAACTGCCAAACAATATCCACCTTTAAAAGGAGACAACCCAAAGATGCCACCCATAGGCACAATGCTGACTCGTAAGATCAAGGGGATGAAGTGAATCACTTCCCTCTGGAAGTTTCCAATGATGATGAACCAATGCCCCAATAATTTGGCATGAAATATTAAAGGAGAAGCTAGGAGCTTGGAGTAAAGGTTATTTAATAGATTTTGATTGTAACATATATCCAAACAAGTTCATCAATTGACTCCAACTAGTGGAACAATTTTTTTTAGTACAAATAAATTTCTCAAGATAAGAGCATTAATTCACAACCTTCAAACTCAAGAAGAATGCTTCTTTGTGGTGGGAGAATTTGAAGTGTTGATGTTAGCGCGAGTTTACAAGCAAAATTACAAACTAGTTCCACAAAATCGACGTGATATATTCATAAAACTCTACCACTATGCCGAAGTATATTTTTTTAAGTACACTGCTAAATCTGATCAAATTAAAGTCATATCAAGCTATTAAATCATTTTTGGAAGTTTTCCGAGCATATTTGAAAATTTAAACAAATTTTGAATCAGGTGAACTTATGGTCAAATCGAGCGTCTCAACAAGACGCTATCCAACAAGCTCAATTCTGACATTGCTAAGACACTCAAATATCCATCAAATATTGACTGTTTGAGGGAATCTCTCCGGACTGTCCGATCATAGTTATTCAAATTTCTTCATTAATTGTAGACGGACTACATAAATAGAGCTCAACCCCTCTCATGGTAAGGGGGAGGAGGAGAGCTTGAAACCTGAAAAAGAGCTTAAAGCTTGAAGAATGAGCTAAAGTCTGCAGCTGACCACCATTCATTGTCCGTCGTTGACCACTACTCACTAGCCTCCGTCGATTAGCATCGACCACGATCCATTCCTTACGACGAAACACCATGTAAAGTGATAACTGACGTTGTGGAATCACAAAACAACTTGCGAAGTGGCGCATCATCCTGAACATCAGGTTGACTCCAAAAGACGGTGTAACAACACACCCTAAAGTTGGTCCAACAACGTATCTCAAAGACGGTGTAACGAAGCTCCTCAAATACATTCCTGCAACTCCAGATTCTAGCCTCCGCATCCTACAAACGTCACTACTATTCACGACTACGACAAACGTGACTAACTATGGACTGCGAGTCTACAACTCGTGCAGCTTCCAACTCCAACCCTCGCGACCTACAAACATTGTTACTACTCACCACTAGAACCTACGTGACCAACTATGACCTATGTGATTCACAATGGGCGTCATTGCAACTCGCAATTATAGCGTATACAACTTACGTGGTCCTCAACTCCTGCACTCCCGACCACAACCTCTATGGCCAACCGACACTTCTGAAGCAACCATCTATAACCCCCGCAACCAACTACTGTTATGGTTATTAACTATGACTTCTACAATAAGTTATCACCACAGTATCCGCCTACAATACTCACGATTTAGTTTTAGATGAACTGAAAGAAAGTTTCTAGCCATTGTTTCTATCATCAATTATAACTTCTAAAAATTGCCTGGGCTCCTTTGTTTCACCGAAGGAAACAAAGGTCTTGACAGCCGTTTCACATAAACGCCCTTAAAACCTATACTTACCCATTTAAAACGTAGATTAGATTCTTAATCTTTATGGATTATACTAATAATTGTTTGCATCAGTATCATCACATATAAACTGTGTTATTTAAAATTATTTTTCAAAAAGCCATTAAAAAATCCTTGATTTTTATTTTAAAATGTTTTACTTGTTTATCGCTGAATGATTTTTTTTAAAAATGATTTTAGTTATAATATTCTTTAAATGATCAGCAATAAATCACAAAATTTGTAACTTGAATTGGAGCCTAAAAATAAATGAAATAAACATTAAGTAATAAAAATTTCGAATTCAAACGCTCAACTACTGAGTCACATATAGCATTGTAAATGAACAAATGTATTTAATGAAAAACTCAAACTCGATTTTGATTAATATTCAATTAAATTTATTAAAATGAGTAAGAAAAAAAATTAATATTTTATAAAAACTCTTTAAAATTAAAAAAAGCAAATATAAACACATTCAAATTTATTTTTTTATTTATATTCACAATTAAATTCATTTATTGGGGCAGCTTGTGCTTATCTGAAAAAACGGACCGCGTGATTCAACTCGTGTTCTGCATTCAATGTAAGAAATCAATTGTGTTTTTTGATAAGCTACTCAAACATAGTTTCCAAACGGTGAGGTGTCATTTTCAAAGCGCTGCCGCATCAAATAAACTACCTCAAACACACTCTAAATTAATTTATTAAATGTTTAATATTAAGCTCAATGACAATTTTAGATGCTTAATATTAAGCTCAATGACAATTTTAGATGCCCACAGATTTCTTAACTTACCATATGGACAAGTTTAGTTAGCTTAATCTTCAGACTTAAATTTAAGGTGCCTCTATGGGACCCACAAAGTCAAACCTGACCTTTCCTATTGTCTTGCTTCTTCGGTTTAATATGAGCTAAACATATTTTAAAATCATCACAAATCTTATTGGGTTTAAAACTGATTCAAAATTAAAATTTTTCAGATTTGAAATTAAAATCTTAAATCGAACTCAAACTTCATTTAAACAAAATCAAAATCTATTCGTTAAACACAAACTTAAATTAAATAAAAATTGAAATAAACCAAAATCAATTAGATAATTAAACCTAAACAATCTAAAATCAACTAAACATCTAAAATGAACAAACCTTAAGTTAAAATAAACCAAACCTAAAAAAAATCTAAATTCAAAATCTAAACTAATCTTAAAATAAACTCAATTAAAATCTAAACTAAAATAAATTTTGGCTTAATTTCAAATTAAAATAGAAATTTAAACTAAACTTAGAACTGAGCTAAACCTAAACATAAAAATTAAATTCAAACTTAAATTAAATTTAAAATTAAAGCTTAAATAATAACTCATATTATATGTGATTTATTATTTAAAATAAATTTAATTAACAATAACTTAACTATTCATATTTAGTAATAATATGCAATAATTTAATAGCAATATAATTTCAAAAATAATTTTTACTTGCATATTGTTCCTGAATATGATTAAGCCAAGTCCAATTCACATCATACACAAACTCAATTACAACCCAAGCTGCATGTTTTTATAATAACATTAGAAAACAATAATTAAAATGAGCATTTTTAATGAATGGAATAAAGAAAAGCTCCAAATTTCTATGCAAAAGACCTTCACAAAAGCAAATAGGCGCTTAGAAACTATCAAGCACTCAAAATTATGGGGAAAAAGCACATTCTAACACTAATCTTAAAGCAGCAAACAGCTGTTTTCTTTTCTCTTAATAATAATAATAATAAATACAGCACACCAAAAGAACTCCCACAAAACCTTCTCTTTCACACTCTCTCATACAAAATAATGTTCCACCCTTCATAATTTGGAAGCAAAATATACAAGAATTAATTAAGGTATTGAACTTAGTACTAGTTTATTAGACAAACCTGTAAGTCTTATTTAATACTAAATTGTTCATAACTTAATCTTCTATGTTGTCACCAGATTCTTTCCTGGTGATCTTTAGTCCTTCTGGTAGAAGGAGAGAACAAGATCTGTATGTACAGAGAAGAGTTGGGTGTCCACAAGCAACTGCGCATACATGAAACAAAGTAAAATTATTCAGATTTACAAATAATTCATTAACTTAGATTTAAATTAAGAGAAAAAAAAATTCATTGATTTTTAATCTTAATGTCTACAAAAATGTCAAATGAGTCCACAGACATTCAATTGGGGTTGAAATATTTCTTCATAAGGATTATTTTAACATATATTAAAAAAATCTGGAGGCTATATTAGCACTTTCATGGACTCTGGAATTATAACCCCTTGCAGAGGGGAAATATTTGCGTACATAATACGCACGCAGAACTGCGTGCGTAATAACCCCGCAATAACCTCGGCTTCGCGGTTATTAAGAGGTTATTGGGAGGTTATTGAGGTATTAATTCCAATAACCTATAACCATAATAACATTTCAATAACCTTCGCAAGTTCTATTTTGATGTTATTCATAAGTTATTACGGGGGTATTGCGGGGTTAATGAAGTACGCACGCAGAGTTGTGTGCGTATTACGTACGCAAATATTTCCCCTTGCAGAGAGCCAGGGGATTATTGTGTACTTTTCTCTTTAAAATAGTTTAATTTTGAGAAGAAATATGAAAATAAGATTTCAGATTCTTTAAAGTGAAATAAACAAGGTTCAAATAATTATCTGCTTTATAAGAGTCTTAAATTTACTCGAGTAATAAACTCTATACTACAGTCTCATACTTGTGAAGAGTTAATCAAATGAGGAAAACAAAAAGTTATTTTGTGCTTAACAGATCCATTATAATAATTCATGCAAAATGTGATCATTCCAAGAAATAAATTTTCTTCAAAGAACAGAATAATGTATAAGGATAGACAATACCTTCATAAAGGGTCTGTCTCGGCTTGGAAATGACTCGATGAAACTCTCTTTAAGAAGTAAAGACACCTGAACAAGCATATATATGAGCAACAAATATTAATCAGTCTGATAAGTGTGCGATGAAATTTAAAAAGTATATTTAGCTCACTTCTAATTCAATAATTTTCATCACTTAAAAGTCTACAAAAATAGGGAGAACAAAAACACTTTGTATTTTTTGGTCAAGGTTGAAATAATTTACTCTTGCCTTGTAGACACCACCAATAATTTTGAAAAGACTAATGATGCTGGTGATGTGCTTGATCAACTTATAAATTGAATGAAAATGTTTTGCAGGACCAAAAAATAAAAAAAGTTTCTCAGGCGCAAAGCAATGAGATCACTTATAATTGATAAAGACTAACAGAGGAATCTAGCATATGAAGCATCTAACTGGCTAACGGCCGTGGGATCATTCACAGTATGATAGTTTTTTTGTTTTTACTTTTTTACTTTTTTACTTTTTTTAAAAATGTTTGTTTATAGTATTTTTTTTACAGGTTTTGATTTTCCTTTTTTTTTATATAAATAAACTTAATTTTAAAAACAATCTAGACAACTTATATGTATTTTAGTACTTTTAAAAACAGCAATAACCAACAAACATATTTTATTTCACATCAAATTATATACAAAATAAAATAAAAATAAAAAACAAAAAACATTGATCCCAAACAGCCCCAAAAAAGATGGCATGCTTTCAACTAACTTCTACAAAAAAAATACCAATAAACATTTTGGGTATTTAAGAGAAACAAACCTTGTCATCATTGGATTGAACATTTGTTATTGTGTGAGATCGTAGGTTTGAGCAAAGAGAATCAAGGTAAGACCTTAGGACCGCTAAGAAACCTTTGGCAGCTTCAATCTACAAATGTAATAAAACAGCAAAACAGAATTTAAAAGAAAAGATCACGATAATGTCACAGCACAAGACATGCAAATACCAAATTTAACTTGGAAATTTTAAAAATAAATAAAATTTGGAATCTTTCGGCTTACCTGCACGTCCGTACACTCAAAAACTGGCCTTTTTCTGGCAAGGTAGCTCTCACCAACGAGTTTTGCATGATAAGGACTTAGGGATGCCAATAACTCTTTGTGTTGTGGTAGATGGGGCATTAAAGGGGACTTCACCTACTTTTCCAAGAGAATGAAGCTTTAATTAGATGCACTAAAAGCATTTTGCCCATAGTAAGGCAATGGTAAGGGGCTTCCACTATTTTCTTAGTTAACAGTTTGAAAAGAGGGAAAAATGCAAGCATGATGTTAAAGAACTTGTTGACAAAAAACTTTACTAGTAATAAGTATATATGAACCATTAGTCATAACAAAATAGTTAACAATTACATTTAGGGACAGTTTGGTTTGAAGGAATTTGGAAGAAGGTAAATGCATTTTTATTTATAATTTTGAAATATGATTGGATCCATATAAAATTTGATATACCTAAGAAACGTCGATGAATATACTTTCATAAGAAGATTTAATGGAACATTTACATAGGTATCACACAATTCCTATGTAATTACACATCTAACACCTAAACTTAGATTTTTTTTTTCAAATGTAGAGGGTGTTTGGTAGCAGGGTTTGAGCAGGATTTAAGTACAGGATTTAGTTTAAATCCTGCCAAACAGCTAAAATGACAACTTTAAATTCACCAGAATCTTAAGTCCCATTTCTCCTCCATTTCCGTGAATCCCAGACTTAACAAATCCGCTTGGTAATAAATCCAATTGGTAGGCCGATTTATGAGATTTAGAGAACTGGAGTGCACGAAGAGGGCAAAATGATAGAAAAAAGAATATTCCCACGCTCATCGCCTGCACGCACCCATTGCAACTACTTGTTTTTTTTTTTTTTTTTCTTGTAGAGTTTTAAGTTGATGTGAAGGTAGGAAGACATGGTTTCAAAAGCCTCCGCAGTCAAGCACATGTGGTGACTTTCATGATTTGTTTTCAATGAGGCTTTCATGTAGAAGGGCATTCAGGAATCAGGAGGAATACGAGGACAGGATAGGAATATGCTACTAGGGAGAAGGTAATTATAACTTTTAAATTATACTTAATAAAAAAACATAATTAATAAAAATAATTAATGTGAATAAATTAATGTTATTTGTAATTTAATTTTATTAAAAAATTCTATGATTGATTGGATTTATAAATTATTAATAGATGATTAATTAAGAAATTATGTTAAACAATTTTGGGCAGGTGAGAAAAGAAAGGATAAGAAGGTTTAAAACTTGATTAAAACTGTTATTTAAAATCAATTTAATAAACTATTAGTCGATAATTGATCAAATTATTATCTTCTATTAATTATGATTTAATAATTTTTTATAAAAATGATCGATTAATTAATTAATAATCATTAAAGGCAAATGTATTAATTCAAAATTAAATTAGTCTTCATAACTGATATTACATGATACAAAATACTAATAAATAAAAGAAATTATTTGTACACATAAATTATTATATTAAATTAGTTTAATAATTTACTAATTAAAAAATAATTTGAACATTACTTACATTAATTTCATCATCAATAATAATATTAAAATACAATTGATCAAACTTAAATCCCGAAAAAAGTAGCAAAACAGTTTCTCATGATTTAATCAGCTTTAACTTCTATAACACCAAATAGATTCAAGTATTTAACTGCCTTAAGATTTACTGAATTTGGATTTATAGGATTTACTAAATCCCACTTGAGTTAAATCCTCATTGTAGCCAAACAGCCCCATATAACAATTTACACATGCTTGAACAAGCATCTTTCACATTTTTAGAAGTTAGATATAGTGGTATTTTTTATGTTATAAAAAAAAATTGAGTGTCAAAAATATAAACGTTAAGATTTAGGTCTTAGATATGTAAATAAATAGGAATCGTATGGTATGTATGAATGACATTAATTTAATTTCTTTGGACACAAAACATGAATACTTGTTAATTGAAGGATAAAGTAGGACTTCATAAAAAGATAAACATCAAGGGAAGTTAAAATATTTTATAAAACAAGTACCAAAATTTCATAATTGTGCCTACTGTGTATCAATCAGGAATAAAAGAAATCATAATAAAGAGTTTCTTTCTTCGCAATAATGCAAAGAAGGAAATATTATATTTGCACGGATTCTCTCCTTTTAGCTGAATATTTAGATTATGAATATGTATTAATTAAGTTACTTAAATTAGATTATACTGAATATTATGTACCCAAAATAGATTGTACAAACTACTATTTATTGGAATGAAAGCAAAGGAAAAGGCATTCAGCCTATTTACTCAAAATATTGTCATGGTATCAGAGCTTGAATCCTTGAAATTTTAGTTTTTTGTTATATTTGTCTGGCATCTTCGACAGCTTCCTCACCGCCGGAGAGGTCGTTCTTATCTTTGAGTTCTGCGGAATCTTCGTCCGCTTTGATTGAGTTCTACAGCTGCTTCAAGCCAATCGCCTTCGATCGAACCAGAGCCGATCGCCTTCGATCGGACCATTGGTGCTGAGTTTACGACTGGTGCGGCATCTCCGGACATCTTCGCTCCGCTCGCTCTGGTCTGGACTTCTCCTCTGGTGCGGCATCTTCAGATATCTGCAGTTCGCTCCCGCTCGTTCGATCGTCGCATCTGCCGCTCGTTCGATCTTCGTTCTTTGCATCTGCTCCGCGATCGATCTGTCCCGATCGTTCGATCGATCGTCCTGCACCACTCCGCGATCTTCGCATCTGCCGAGTCTCGTGCCTCGATCCACCGATTCGCTCCGCGATCTTCGCATCCCGCATTCAGAGATACCGTGCGGACAGCGGACATCTCTGGACAATCCCAATCCTGCATCCACTCTGCGATCTTCGCTTCTGCTGTGTCTCGTACCTCGCCTGAAGTTCTTCGCATCTACCAACCTAGCCCTTGATTTGAATTTTATTTATTTTTAAAATGTCTTCTGAAATCATAGTTATCAAATTTACGGGAAAAAATTATGCCGCATGGGAATTTCAACTTAGAATGTTCTTAAAAGGGAATGAGCTTTGGGGTCATATTGATGGATCTACCCCAGCCCCTACTGAGACAAAAGATCTTGGTCAATGGGAAGCAAAGGATGCACGGATTGTTTCCTGGATTTTGGGATCTATTGAAGCTCATATGGTGAACAATTTACGATCCTTTGGCACAGCTAAAGAAATGTGGGAATATCTGAAGCGTGTTTATAATCAAGATAATTCTGCAAAACGCTTCCAATTGGAACTTGACATGAGTAATTTTAGTCAGGGTAATCTTTCAATCGAGCAATATTATTCTGGTTTTTTAAATTTATGGAGCGAATATACTGGTATTATCTATGCTAAAGTATCAAAGGAGAACTTAGCCAGTTTTCAAGCCATTCATGAAGAAAGTCGTCGTGATCAGTTCTTAATGAAACTGAGACCTGAATTTGAAACTGCTCGAGCTGGGTTACTGAACAGAGATCCGGTTCCATGTCTGGATGTTTGTTTTGGGCAATTACTGCGTGAAGAACAAAGATTGGCAACACAAGCTACTATCAGTACAACAGGTGAATCATCAGAAATAATTAATGTTGCATATGCTGCTAAGACCAAAGAGAAAGGGCCAGTGCAGTGTTACAACTGTAAGAAATTTGGTCATATTGCACAAAATTGTGAAAATAGTGCCCAACACGACCCCAAAATCGCAAACCACAAGCACTTCATGCCACGGTATCTAACAATCCTGCCTCGACTTCTACTGTTGCTGACAATAATCAATCAACTGTCACACCCTATATGGTTCAACAGATGATTCTCTCTGCATTTTCTGCTCTCGGCCTTCAAGGGAAAGGTAAAACTATTTCTTCAGTTACTTCTCCTTGGTTTGTTGATTCAGGCGCCACAAATCATATGACTAGCACAGCTGAGCTATTGCATAACCAACGACCGTACACTGGTACTCAACATATTCAATCCTTCAAACATGTTTTGGTTTCTCCTAAATTATCTAGTAACTTACTCTTGGTTGGTCAAATTGTGGATAATAACTGTGAAGTACATTTTTCTCGTGATGGTTGTATTGTGCAGGATCAGGTGTCGGGGAAGGTGATAGCGAAGGGGCCTAAAGTGGGCAGACTGTTTCCATTACAATTTTCTGTTCCTCAGAATATTTCATTAGCATCTTTAGTTGTTGAGAATAAGGCAGACATCTGGCATAAAAGACTAGGTCATCCAAATGATATGGTGTTGAAGCATTTACATAAAAATGGTGTTTTTTATACAGATAAGAGTTTAGTAGTTGATTGTTCTGTTTGTAAACTTGGAAAAAGCAAGACATTACCTTCCAATTTCAGGCAGTCGTGCCAATAAATGTTTTGACATTATTCATAGTGATGTTTGGGGAATTACACCTGTTAATTCACATGCTCAATATAGATACTTTGTGACATTTATTGATGATTACAGTCGATTTACTTGGATCTATTTTTTACGTGCCAAAACAGAAGTATTTACTGTATTCCAAACATTTCTAGCATATGTTGAAACTCAGTTCTCCGCTCACATTAAAACCTTACGTTCTGACAATGGCGGTGAATACATGTCTCATGAGTTTCAAGCATTTCTTCAGAACAAAGGGATCGTTTCACAACGGTCATGTCCCTATACACCGCAGCAAAATGGAGTTGCTGAACGAAAAAATCGACATCTATTGGATACCGTGCGCACATTACTGATAGAATCTTCTGTTCCAGCTAAATTTTGGACTGAAGCTTTATCTACTGCAGTTTATCTCATTAATCGCTTACCATCTCAACAATTGAAATATGAGTCTCCCTACTATCGAGTTTTTGATAAAC